CCACTTTCAGAGGGGTGGACTTCAACTCCCAGAATTCCCCAGCCAGCTGGCTGGGGAATTCTGGGAGTTGAAGTCCACCCCTCTGAAAGTGGCCATGGCTGAGAAACACTGAGTTAATGGATGAATCCATAGCATAGAGACCAGCTACAGCTTAGCAATGGCCAAAGAGGAAGCAGTAAAGCAATTTCCAAGAAGAAGAGCAAGCAGGAGCAACTTGGTTCGAAGACGCCATTCTTAACTCACCTTTCTTTACTGGAGACTTCTTCAACCCGGTTTAGAAGGATGGGTAAGCGATCAATCACCGAATGATCAAAGCATGATCGTCCGCAATCCCAGCTTCGACAGGAAGTAATGTTAACAAACAGCTCTTATTGCCATTCGTCCCTCTGCTGCCCTCTGATGCAAAGTGAAAATAACTTTCTCTTCCCACAATGCATCTGATTCTGAAGCTCTGGTTATTTAAAAAAAAAAAAAAACACCTGGCTGATGGGCTCTTTAAGGGATTCCCGGGAGTCTATACGGAATTTTATGAATGAAGCGACGGAATTTGCTCCGCCCACGCGAACACTCCGCTATTCATGTGTCAGGAGGGGGCGGAGCTGCTTTCGCCCGAAAGCTTAACCTTAAAGGGACCGCTCTTCTTCTGTTGGTTTCTAAACCCAAGCCAAAGTGAACGGGCTGTCGACTCTCACCAAGCAAAAATTAATTCTTCCCTGGCAATTTTGGGAATTCTCGATGTTCGCTTGTAAGATTTCAAATTGCGATGCAGTTATTAAAAATAAATGTAAGATATCCGGGGCTGGCTTGATTTCCTTGGGTATGGCTAAGGAAAGTAAAAATGATCCCAAAATAATGATGGACAAAGTAAGATATTGTATTTTCTCTCTCTGTGTAACTATATAGCTCATCTCCTCCTTTCCTTCCTTTCTTTTCTATGCCCCTTTTCCTCCTTCCTTCCTCCCTCTCTCCCTTCTCTTCTCTTCGTTTAGTAAATCCATTTAAAATTAACTCCCTAAAACCATGGGATACATTTCAATCATTTTTTTAAATGTTTAAACAGTTAACCAATTCGAAATAAAAGTGATCGTAATGGCCCCTGTTTTTCTTTCAATGCCTATTCCTTGCCTTGAAAAATCGTTCCATTACTTTCTATAAGATGACACTCACAAAACATGTTCAATTTGGCTACTGCTTTTAATCCATTTTCTGTGGGTGGATAATCCAATGTCAAACTAACCCAACAAGCGGGGTTTCTAGGCCACCCTAAAACAGAATGAAGCCTAAACAAGCTTTCAATTTTCCATGCTCAACACTGCAAACACAGATTAAATATCCCCCCATTTTTTGGAGGGGGCAGACAAAACAACCAATTATTTACAGCAAAACAGTATTTTTCAACCATAGCAACTTTAAAAATGTGTGGCTTTCAACTGCAAGAACTCCCCAGTATGTTATAAGAAGTATTATAAATAAAAACCACAACACTAAAACCAATACTGCATGAAAAGAAGAAATACAAAAACTGAAAACACAGGAAGAAACCAAACATTTTTAAAAAATTAAAATCTTTAGAAGAACATTCCATGGTTCCTGGAAGAAGATCCCTCCACATTCAGGGGATTGTCTATTTTTCTGTCGTTTGCCTAATTGAGACCCCCCCCCCCCCAAAAAAAATGCACTGGGCTTTTGTGCTTGATTTTCTGAATTACACAAATGCAACATACGATTCAACTGAGCACAGCGGGATTTATTTCCAGGATCCATTGACCGTGTTAGAGAGAAAGCCCCATTGAACCCACTAGGGGAGGAAAAAGATTATTCGTTAAGTACCTAAGTGACATCCATTCGTTTGGAAAGGGAAACGCTCTCTCAGAAGCCTTGTCATCTTTTTAGGCCTGAACCCCGACACGGGAAATCCGGGCATCAAATAAATCAATAAATCCTGACGGATGAAAGAAACGACATTTTCCGCACCGTTTTGATTTTAAAAACAAAAACCCAGTAAGAACCTTTCTCCGCAAGCGGTGTTTCCACACAGGTACGTTTCTGACGATGCACCCAGCTTTCCGGAAGTTGCTGCTCGGCTGGAGTTCCGCCCCGGCTTTGCGGTCCGCTTTTTCTCACGCCGGGTCGAGCTCGGTTCGGTATCATGGAGGAGGCTGAAATGCAGCTGAAAGTGAAAAAGGGTAACAATGACGGCTACTTCCGGGTTATGTTACACTGAAATGAGTCCGGGGAGGAATGGGGGAAAGGGATGCTTATTCTCTCCCCGTCCCTCCGGGTTGAGATTTGGGTGTTAATGGAGCAAAAGTAAAACTGGTTACGGCTCTTGGGTTGGCTTGCGGGATCCGTGCCTGGATAATTTCTGCCTACCGGGTGAAATAATTCCCACCGTTTTTAATTTTAATATTGGGGCGGGGGGGGGGAATGGCTCTGTTAACAGTATAGATAAGGCATCTTCTCCCAAGGTAGAAATGGGACAGGGGATTTCTGTTGCATTGAATGAGACAGATTTCATGTTTATTGTTCTGGTCTGGCTCTGCAAGCGTTTTCATCCTACCTGGGCTGGTCTCAAATGAGCAGTTGCAGCTGGCTAATGCATGGATAGGAGACCACTCAGTGATTCGAGAAAAGTAGACTGACCTGAGAGTGGAGAAAGGCAATGGCAAGCTAACTGTTGTGCCAAGAAGTTGTCGTGGCCAAGAAGGAAAGAAACAAGCTAGAGCAGTGATGGCGAAACATTTCAGCACCGAGTGCCCAAACCAGAATGTGCCTGCATAGGCACGTGCCAGAGTGCCAGAAACCCAAAGACTAACTGGCTACTGCACATGCATGTGCTGGCCAGCTGGTCTCATTTCTGGCATACACATGTGTGCCATCCAACTGGTCTTTATGCACGCCTGAGCACCAAAAACCCAAAGACCAGCTGGCTGATATGCGCATGCCTATTTTGGGGGCATTTGGGACCGTTTTTCAGGCTGTTTTCAGGTTATTTTTCAGACCGTTTTTGGTCATTTTCGAGCTGTTTTTGGGGCCAAAAATAGCCTGGAAACAGCCCAAAAAAGCAGCCCAAAATGCCCCCCCAAATGGGCTGTTTTGGGGCTGTTTTCAGGCTGTTTCCTAGCACTCCACCGCTCATGGACCAGCTGACTGACGCACCAAAAACTAGAAGAGCAACTGATGACGGCACATTTGCCCACAGGGAAGGCTCTGCATGCCACTTCTGGCACACGTGCCATAAGTTCGCCATCATGGAGCTAGAGCTTAAGGAAAAATTTCCAACGGTGAGAGCAGACAACCAATGAAGTAACTTCAGAAGTTGTGCTCCCATCACTGGAGGCTTTCAAAATGAGACTGGACAACCATTTGTCTGAAATGGTATATGGTCTCCTGCTTGAAGACCTCCAAGGTCCCTTCCCACTCTATTATTTTGCGTTCTAAGTTCCCAGCAGTTGAGCTTAAACCCAACTCTTTTTGTTTTAAAAAGGTGCAGCTTGAAAGTCTGCATGTTTCTCCAGAAGTAAAATCAGCTAGAAAGAGCAGGATTTACTCCCTGATGAGTGTTTTAACCTTAGAAAAGAGCATGCTGGGGACTCAGTTCTCAACTGCTCACTTGCAGTCTCTGCACCTGTGAACCTCTGCTCACAGGTTCATTATGAGCATAAAGGGATTGGGCCACATTGATCTGACCTACGCTTAAAGATACATTTTAATCATAATAGTATTGAGAATTCCAGCTAAATTTGGGAAGCTGGCTGAGTGAGTTTGGCCCAATTGCTTTCTCTCAGCCCAACCTTCCTCACAGGGTTGTTGTTATGGGAAAGATAGGAGGCAGGAGCATTAGGTATGTTTGCTGCTCTGAGTTACTTGTTTTAAAAAAGCAGATACAAATATCATATTTAAGTATGTTTGCCACTTTGAGTTATATATAAAAATCAGGATAGAAATGTAATAATAATACAGCTTACATGCTGCAATAATGCTTCTAAGACCATCAAACATCAACACCTGACTATCCCAGGTCCTTGGGGTGGACTTGATAGGGGGACAAAAATGCCAAATCCAGTCTGAACATCTGGCTGACTGTGCGACAAACCAAAACAACTGAAGTATGAAAGATTCACATTCACTATCACCCTCCTGGATTCCTATTGTTTTCCAATTTCACTTCTCTCCTTTTGCATCTATGTTCATCTATCATTCTGAACCAATGGTCTTTTTTAGACTGGCGTCCACCTTAACTTTTTGGGGGGGTTCTGGTTAGTTTTTACACTTTGGAATTTTCTCCAAGCCTAAACATCCCTTTCTTGTATCGGTGGCCTGAAGTCATGACAAGTATTACTTGAACCCTGGTTTTTTTCTCCCGGTGTGGAAGCAAAACAGAGGAAAAATATGCTTTCTTTTCTCCTTATAGTGACAGACAAGTTTACAGAGAGCATGTATGTCCTGGCCAATGAACCTTCTGTTGCATTGTATCGGCTTCAAGAACATGTCAGGCGGTCTCTCCCAGAACTGGCCGAACACAAAGTAAGATGTGATCTGAACTGTAAATGAGAATAGATGTAGTATCATTTCCTGTGTGTGTGTGTGTGTGTGTGTGTGTGTGTGTGTGTGTGTGTGTGTGTGTG